ACAACACTATAATTCTTAAGAGATTTAGTAAGTTTTAAAAAATTACATATTATATTCAGAAATATTTCAATGTTAGCTTTTTGTTTTTAATCAATGTGTCATATCGAGATTCTTATATTTTCATTAATGTGAAAATAATATTTGTCATATTATGGAAAGAGAAAGCAAACTTCATTTATCATGCATGAAATCTTATATGTCGTCTAAATTATTCAAGATGTTTTCTATAAAATATTTGTTATTAATCAAAATATTTTTATTTTACAAGCTTGATGATGTCTTAACAAGACAAATTAATTTTATTAACGTTTTAACGTGTAGTTTTCCTGTAATAAGTAAGACACCAGACGAACTTTATCTATTATAAACTCCAGGCGTTTTTTTACAGGCATGGTGCCAATAAAATACAGTCAATTTATCTGTCTATAATCATTATTGCTTGTCTGGAAGAAAATCTCATAGGAAATATTCTTTTCCTAATAATATATGAGAGAAAAAAGCTCGATATATATCATCAAGTAGTGTATAGCTTATAGAAAAATTTTCGGTTTATAGACATCGTTCGCAATTGATTAAACTCAAAAGTTTAATCTATAAAATCTGATTTACGTATTTTCTTCTTAAGTATTAATTAAAACAGATTTTTACGCAAATATATTGATAAAAAAAGATAACAAGCAATCTGTTTTTAATTATTATTTATGAAAAAAACAAAGCATATATTCAGTAGACGCAAATACATTTAATAAGGAATTGGTTCGTTTTTTTTTTCTTTTAAATTTATCTGATTTTTCAGGTGATCAAATAACAAAAAAAATGACATGACATGTTTCGTGAAATGTGTATTGTCGAATGGCATATTTTTTTGTTTTGTACTTGTTTTTCTACTGATTGAATTTTCTTGCATTGGCTATCGCATTTTTTTTTCCTTTTTTTTTTCCTTCTTATTTTCTATGTTTTCTTTTCTAGGATATAAAAAAAAATGTTACTAAAGGGAGTAATGAAACACTGCTATTAATTAGATGAGAACGTCGTCCTCAATGCTCAAATTACAAACATATTTTTTATACAATAATAATAAATAATTAAGAATGAGTATTATCAATGAAAGCAATAACTCTTTATTATTTTCATTTGATGATGATGATAGAGATTTTTCTCATAAACTTGATATTATACAAGGATGTATTTATATTCCAATTTTTTGTGCTGGCATAGCCAATAATTTATTAACTATCCTAATTATCTTATTAAATCAAGACATGCATACAGTTACGAACTGTTATTTACTAAATTTAGCTATAAGTGATAGTTTACCATTAATTGTTAGTTTACCATTTGAAATTGCGGTAAATTTTTTTTTGTATTAGAATTATTTTAGTATCTCTTTGTTCTTTTTTCGTTATAGTTTTTACCCATCAAAGTACCATGGGGTGAACATGGTTGTAAACTTCGAAGTCTTCTTGCTGAAACTTCTACTAATGCATCAATTTTAACTATTAGGTAAATGAATATAAAAAATAAAAATAAAATTGTAATAGTTTATTTTTGATTTTTTGATTTATTTTTTTTATCAAGTGCATTTACAATTGAACGTTATTTAGCTGTATGTCGACCACTTCATACATCATTTTTATCAACAACACGACGTGCTATTAAAATACAAATAATTATATGGTTTATTGCAATATTATCTTCGACACCTTATTTATATATAACAAAAAAAATCGATAATCTTTGTTCTTTCAATCAAGATTTTCAATTATTAATTAAAATATGTTTTCATATATCAGCCACAATTTTTTTTGTATTACCTGCATTTATTCTATGTGTATTATATGCATTAATGGCACGACGTTTATATTCTGCTGGTTTTCTTCATGATGTACGTTGGTCAAAAACTAATGGAAGAGAATCATTTTCAACATCAGGACGTTTAAAAAGTATTGAAAATGATAATAATAATAATAATGGTTTAGAACAGAAATTTAAAAAAATTTCTCGTTCATCAACACGTTCTCTAATGAGAAAAGATCCATCTATACGATATAATAATAGTTTTTCACCTGGACAACAATTAAATATTCCATCAATGAAAAAATCAGCTTTTAAAATGCTTTGTAAGTATATCTAGGAATTATTTATAGAAAAATCATATTGATTATTTATTATAAAATATTCTATTGTGAAATATTCTTCAACAAGTTAATTAAATATTTTTATATAGCATAGAATTATTTGAATAATTTTTAGAAATTCTATTATTAAATTTCTTGTCGAAGATAATTAATAAATAATTATTTTGTATTCCTAGAATATCTATGACATAATTAATTTTGACATTTTAAGTGCAGTAACTTGTATTGCTCTATGTCTATTAATCTACTTCAATAATACTGTCTGGTTCTTTTATTATTTGTGCCGAACCATTGTATTTTTATTACTTTGTGCCATTATGTCTCGTTTTTAAGATAGCATATGCAAAGTCGTAAATAGATATAGAGACTCTTGCAGATTTATTATTGTTACTGCTTTGTATTTTCTGCAAGTACGCATTTCATTGTAAAAACGAGGTGACCTATGGTGATTATTAAAGTTAATCTGCACAGAGTTCGTGATGTTTTTGTCGCCTCCAGACTCTTTTTGTTTTTCATCTTATACCTAGCCATGAATGATTGCCAAAAACCAAATGAAAAATTTCATTAAAAAGAGTATTGTGTCAGATTAACTTAGCAATACAAAATATAAAAAACAATTTAACTTTGTACAGTCATCTAATGACCTTCAGTATAACCTTGTTTCCTAGATTAGTATTTGATTTATGACGCATTCTGTGTTATTATGAATCGACGTCTGGCTTCAATAATCCGACGTCGAATAATTATCTTTATTTTTTTTTCTCAGTAATTTGAATTCCATTTTGTGAACCAATCATCATCACGTATTTTTTCTTACATCTAATATTCATCGGATGTAAATGCTTCCTGTTATTCGAATTATAATATTACTAATTTAATTTTTTTAATTTTAATATTCAATAGAGATTTGTAAGAAGATTAGGTTATCCTAAAAATAGTTATTATTATTCTAGGAAGAAAAAACATCTCGACATCAAGGAAGAGATAATATTTTCTCTCACAAATATATTTCACTAAGAAGAGTAACGAACGTCATCATGAGAAAAAAAAAGCCAAGTTTATATCGAATTTCTTATGAATAGAAATCAGGATTTACAACATATCACTACATGATGCTTCATTAACTTATTAACCATATTTATATGAAGAAAATTTGTTTTCCTCAGGATACATTTTTCTGGCATGATTTTCAGTGATCCAAAAAATTATTCATTCATCTTTATTGAGCACCTATGCGGTTTTTCTCTTATTTCAATACGAGCCAAATCATAGATCATAACAATTCTTATTCAATAGACCTTGCAAATAATCTAGACGGAATGTTTTTTTTTTACTTTTGATTTATTTCTACATTAATTATGTTTTTAATACTGTATTTGAATACAATATTGTAGAGACATGATTCTTTGTTTTTCTTTGTTAGAAAAAAATCAAAATGTCAACTTTTAAAATATAGACAAGAATTTAATCGGAAATGTTTCCTAAAGGCATAAAAACTGCAGAACAAAAGATGTAAAAAAAAAGCTCTTCCGGTACTTCAATGACAATTCTTGTATTGAAATACATGTTTGTTTGCCCTTTTTGTCGTCACCAACTTTCGATAATTTTTTAGCATCATATATATATATATTGCTGTTCATGACAACAATGGCGATTTTTGTGATATTAGAATAAATGATATAGATTACAAAAGACTGACCAATAAATAGTTCAATTTAAAGAATAATTCGGTGTTTATAACGCGGAAATAAAGTTTCGCATGAATATTTCACTGAGAAGTTGTGTTCACTAATATCTCATTCGAATTCGAATTGAAGTTTTTTCACCATTCATATAAACTGTTGTCAAATGCATCGAATATTTCTTGTTTCTTTCTGCGGTACGCTAATAGCTTCCTATCGTTATGTCATGAAACTTGGAAAAGAAGAGAAAATCTTTCATATTATATGAAATTTTTAGTTAAACTAAAAAAAACCCAGTCATCAAAGAATTTCTTGATATCTTTTGTTCTAAGAATTTTTCTAACAAAATAAAAGGATCAAGTCTCTATGATATTACATTACAAAGCAACATCATAAAACAAAATTAATGCAGAATTTTTATCCCATCTGTCTTATTTTGAATACAAAACGTACGTTAATATGACATATTCATTATATAATCTCAAAAAAGCAATGCAGAAAAACATGTTCAAATCGAATATTATAATGAGTTATTCTCTATATTTAGTTGCTGTTGTCATTGCTTTTATAATATGTTATGCTCCATTTCATGTACAACGTTTAATTACAAGTAGTTCAAATGCTCATCATTTTTCATTAATTCAACGACGTGCAATAACAATATTTTATTTCATTAGTGGTATTTTCTATTATCTTGGTTCAACAATAAATCCAATTTTTTATCATTTATTTTCTCATAAATATCGTGAAGCATGTATACGTACAATGAAACGAATTGTTCATTGCCAACGGCATCATCATCATCATCATCATCATTATTATCGTCAATACAGTCAAAATAATATTCATCATTTTCATAAAACATATAAATCTCCTACAGTAGCGCATCTTGTTGTATGCGCAAATTTACCTCGATCATCATTAAATAAAACATCAACAACACTAGCAACAATCTATGGATCACCGAATAAATATAAAGCTAGTATTGATATGACTTGTAATAAACAACGGGTTTTACGACTATCATTGCCTACATTTAAAACTGAACGATTGCGATTATGAAAATAAATAGATATTATTTATTAATTTGTTGTTATTTCGATTATTTCATTTATTATATAGAAAAAAAAAAAAAGAATAAATAAAACAATAAATGAAGAAAAAAATTATTTATATTCTTTTAGTTATCATATGAACTATTTACTGAATTTGTATAACTAAAACTATCATCTGTATGTGATTGGTTTTCTTCATAGTTTGGTAGACTTGTATTTTCTTCTTCTTCTTCTTCGTCTTCGTCGTCGTCGTCGTTATCATCAAAATCTGATTCTGTTCGAGTGTAACGTTGATGATCAATACTTCTTTGTTCATATGAAGACTCTTGTGTGTCATCATTATGATTACAAACTTTTCTATGTTTACAATGAATATAATAACGATGAAACTTATCAATAGGTGCAGGTCTATCGAATGTAATAACTGCTATTTCTTCATGAATAATAGTATATCCTTGTTTCGGTGGTTGATACCACTCAAAAGGTACATGAGAATAATGTGAATGATCTTGCCTAAGATTTTGACATCGACCATACATATGTGAATAATATTTATTAGGCATTGTTGTTGATGTATGTGCATTAGTCTGATTAGATGGACATAAAATTGGAACAGCCGGATTTGACATCAGAGGTGCTATAGCAGATAGAACTCCTATTCTTTCTGGATTCATTGACATAGGCATTGGATAAATATTATATACAGGTAACATTGGAATCAATGTGATATTAATTATGAGTCTTGTTTGTATATTGAAAATATAAAACAAAATGTGAACAAACAGAACAAAACGAAGACGACAAAATAACTCATCCGTAACATGACATTCATCGGTTGTTTCTTTTTATTATATATAGTCAGTGGAAATAATTGGAAGTAAATGACAATTATTGAGCGATTAATTTTTACATGTTCATCACAAAAAAAAGAATTCATTTTCTTTTTCTTTTTTTATTAAATCATAAAGTTCAAAATATATATTGAATAATGCAAAAAACATCGGAGTGATGTAGAAATGTTAAAGTCACATTCATTACTGAGCAAGGAAAATACTGTGGAAGACAATTTTATTCATGTGATACTTTGCTCATAAGTAGAAAAGCTTTAGACAATAATCTTTTGAAGATTATTACTTGAAAGTTTGTCTATATCAAAACTTCAAATTTTTTTAGCTAATATACAAAATTTCAGAGCTTTGGCATCTAGTTTCATTGACATATAAGTTTTTCAATCCAAAAATTCTGAAATTTCGTACACATACTAACCTATTTTAGGGTCTTGTTATCAACAAAGTTTCAGTAAAACTTCTTTATCTGAGCAAATGGCAACATGAATCCATATCCTCTTAGTCTTTTTCTAATTCCCAGCTCACCTACTTACAAGCAAAGAATCGGGATGGAAATGACGAATAAGAACAAATTCGTGAATAAAAAAAAAGAAAACACGCGAGAAGAAAAAACGTCAATCTAACCGCCTGTTTCGGTCATCAAATTTAAAGAAAAAAACACAAATATATGTGTATATTTTTTAAAACAAATGATTAAAATGAAGATGTCGTGTAGACAATGGAAGAAAGACTATAGATTGTAAAAAATCAAAGAAGTAACAAAGGCAATAGTAAATCGAACGAATAGAATACATAGGGAGATGTATACACGTAAAATAATCCAGAATAATGGTTACAGTTGTCAAAACAATCAAAAATGATACTGCATACTACCTTCTCGTACTATTTGTAAATGTGAACTGACTTTTGATAGACATTATATTAGGATCGTATTTTATCTGGTGATAAATTCGATTCGTGAGTCCGTAACTCACGTGGTTACAGATGGCAAAATTATCAACAGTTTTTTTAAATAAGAGATTAAAAGCATTGAATCTGTAAGACAAAAATCAATTCAGTTTATTTCAAATGCCGTTTAAGCCAATCGCCACTAGGAATAACTTTCCAATTTTTATCGAATAATTTTGATTTTGATATATAAATATAAGCAAGTTTAGTTTCATTTTCAACAAGTACTTCAACTACTTTACGTTCATATTCATCACCTTCAATTATATCTGCTTGATTGATTTTCTCTTGAAATTGTTCTTTCGATGGCCAACTTAGAAGACGAACAACAATTGAATCATTTGGATCACCTATTATTATTATTAAATAAATAAAAAAATCAATTTATTTTATTTTATTTTTGCAATACCTGTATAAATTGCAAATGGATATGTGATTATAGGATGACCAAGAAGTTGATAACCAACAATTTTACCAGTAGTGGCATGATTAATATTCTTTAAAAATTCAACAAAATTATTCATTTTCAAAAGAAAATATAACAAAAATAATAAGATACTTTAATAAAATCTTTCGTCCATGGCGCACCTGAATTATCATCATCCCTCAAAGTGCCATACGTAGCTAATAATTGAATATCAACAATTTTTTTAATATGAGATGACATGCGATATGAATTAGTAAAAGAATATAAATTTATTGTCAATTTTCTAAACATAACAAAACAAATAATCTCAAACTACTTACATAATAATCAAAGCTTCTCTTTATTGAATTCATCATGTAAGTTAGTAGTCAAAATTAATAAAATGGTATTTTACGGACAGAGAAGTATTTTTGGATTTTTATTTATTTTTTGTGTAGCATTATTATATAACTATTATCAAGAGACGAAGAAAATAAAAAACAAAAGTTGTTTTAGATCAAAAAAATTCTCTTTTTATCTCACTTTTACTATCTTTCATAACAAGAATGAAACTAAACAAATTCAGTTACTATAGTAATTACATATTAAATGTCTGCTATTTATATACTACAAGATTTTGAATAAACATACATATAGAAATTTATTTAACATCGTAAACGATAACGATTATTTGATCTGGACAAGGATGTATATTATACTTTGATTTCTATCGATCTTTTATCCAAAAATATTATATATCAATAAGAAATCATCGATGATAAACAATTGATTTGTAATCAGATCATATACAATAAACATTTACATTTCATCACACATAACGCTCATAAACAATTAATAAAAGACTGACCGAATACTTTTGTAACTAACAAATACATTTGTTAGAGTAATATTCACTAAACTTTCTACGTCTTGTTTCTCTTACAGGAAGTTTTTTTTAATTACTCGTATTGTTTATAATTGAATGAAAAATACCGAACATTTGTTCATGTTATTTATAACGTAAAGCAGAACAAACTCTCTATCAACAATAATGATAATTAATTACCTATTACATATCAATCCTGCCAGCCTGGCCTATGTGTGATGTAATATTCATTTCTCTAATAATAACTTGAAACATAAAATGACATAAATAATATACTTTGTATTCGTGCACGTAATCCCACATTAGAGATACGGTAAACGCGCTGACTGGACAGTTTTCAAAAGCAGAGGGGAAGGTCTTAACATTGAACACTCTCTTCTCTGATTGGTTATGCTCTTGAATCGAATGTAAATGCCCTTGTCGTTGTATACCTGATATTATGTTGTTCATGCTATCATAATAACATTTTTTTTTCGATTATGTGAAAGAGAGTGTGAACGAGAGGATTCCAATACTTTTTGTACTATTTTTATAAAGATTCTCTTATATTCTTTTCAATATTTAGTTTTCTCTTCACTTGTTCCAGTCTAACTTTATTTTATATCTCATTCTTTCCTTGAAAACATCATAGATTTGTAGTAAGGTTATCAAATAATTGATCTAGGTAACGAAACTTTATTGACAAAAATCTCGAAAAGATTCCTAGAACCAAATAATGTTTTAAATTTGTTTAGCTAAAATTCAATAATTCTTCGTCTGATTATGTCGTACACTTTCGATTATTATAGATGAAATAGACATGGTTAAGGAAAATTTTTCAGATGCGAGTATAAGAGCTACTAATAAATTTCTCTTTTGAAGTGAAATAATTACTAATCTATATCTTACCTTTGTTCAAATATTAAAATTAGGAGATTGGATGATTACAATTTTAGTAATATGTTTTCTTCATACTTTCATCCGTCTGTTATATAGTGCTATCTGGTAGGCTGGGTGATTTTCCACAATTGCTATCATCCCGATAGAACCTGATAACATCCTCTCCTTATACATATACAAGACTCTGTAAATTTAGTATTCATTTCTTGACTGAGTACATATATCTATGTTCTCACTTTAGAATCTTTACAATAACAAAGTAATGAATGCACTACAGATTTTGGTATCATTTTTTGTTATTGTCATATTTGTTCGTAGATCTCCAATATCTGAGAGTACTAATAACGAAAAAGAACTATTGAAAATAGAAACCCAATTTTCAAACGAAACTACTCATTACAATTCTACTGTTGAGAGTATTTTTCCATTGATTCATTAATTTATCTAAGCTGTAGTAGAATCAACAAGCGCGGAGAACGAAAAGTCTCGACGATGCGTTTCATATGGTGATTATCAACGCTGGTTTTCAAGTGAAACATGGATTGTTAAATCTCTTGGTGAGGACCATTGGGAAGTATTAGACGATGTTGATCTGGTTCTAAATGTACACACGTCGATCGACCTCTTTGTTACCAAATACGAACAATAAGCTTATCTGAATTTAAGTTTTTCTTATGATTTTCACACTGTAATTTTTATATAAGGACTTTATTCTGCTATTGTCAGGATCACGATTTCTAAAGAAGAAGAAGGAAGAGAAGGTGGGATAAGAGACGAAAGCAATCTAGTCAATTATATCATCCAAACTTCATTGATAAAGTCGAGTATTCGATACTCAATCGATCATTACGAATGATATATCAACGTTTGATGTTGTTGGTATTTTTTTCGTCGTCAAAATTGATTCCATCTCCCTCAACTTACTTCAAAAGCGGTAACAAACTTTCCTATGTTCTTCTAACGTACTGTTAGACTTTGACAGAGACTTTCGTGTCTTTAGCGGATTTCCGAACATGTTGGCTTGAGTTCATTTTATGAAAGCCTGTCTGGCAATAATATAAGGCATATTCTGATGAATATTCACTTAATAGAAATAGCCATTTACATCAGTAAAACACCGTCATCAAAACCATTTGATGATGCCCATGACGTCAGTTATTTTGAAGAAGAGAAAATTCTCTTCTCCGTGTCCTCTGTTTGTTGAATTGAACGAATGTGAGAAGAGATTAAATGATTGATTGGATGGCTTCAACATTCTGATGTGGTTGCATGTTGCAACAATACTCGCTTGGTCTATGACAACATAGTTGATTATTCGAGACCGCTTGTGTTTTATGAAAGTACTCTTGATGTTAAACAAAGTTCGCTACCTCTTGAGCATTTTAGTCTTCAAGGTGGAGGAAAGAGCATTGAAATTGTTAAAAAGAAATTGCAATTCTTCTTATATTTTTATTTAATGAGACACGTACAGTGAAACTCTGTCTTATTAAGAAAACAATTGGGTCACAACTACTGGTAAGATAACCAATATATGCATATATCCACATAATAGACATGTCTTGTAATTAAAAAGACTTCACGATATAGTTAATAGAAATTCGACATTAAATTTTCTAGTAAAGACAATATTTAGATTTGATGGAAACATAAGAAGAAGAAATTTTGATACAAAATCTATGACTTCAGACGGAATATTCATTTACATATTTTACTTTTCGGAAAGAAAAATTTCATGTACAGGTTTGA